AACGGCATGCGACTAGCGAGGTACGCCTTTCTTTTCCCTTGTTTTTTTTTTTTTTATTTTGGTCTTGCCAACTACAACCTACTAACCAGTAGACAGGATGTAAATTGACACTGGGATATTTATCCGTATTCTATTAGAGAATCCCCATCTGAAATGTTAACTCTAGTTTTTGATATTTCTGCCCCCAAAAATTTTTCTCTCCATTTTTGGTACGCGATGACGGAATAAGTCGAATTTTCTGTTGGCGCTGGGGCTACAGATTTTCGGGGCCTAGCGCGTCCGTAGATAGACTATTGAAGTCGAATCAATTTCTAGGCATCCCACCTAAACAACTTGAGCCTCCAATCAACCCATCTCTTTCCCTATAACTCCGCTGCGCCCACGAGCTGGCTATTAGCTAGGGTAGGAGGCATTAATTTAAGTATTACGCGCCTCGGGGAAAATTGCTAATAGGAATGAGACCTCAGAATCCAGGCGCTTAGCAACTGAGTAAGTGCATGTCTATCTTTAGCAACCCTTGTTAACGCTCACCGGCATTCATTCGTAACAGTCATCTTTAACGCTGCTGCTTCATATCCCTGTTTCCACAAGCACGTTCATTTTGTTTCAAGTTTCAATTACAACCACCTATCAATTCTCTTTGATTCGAGGCAGTTCATTATTCACCATCAGATTTCGCTGGCCACCTATTTCGAGCCGTTCAGCAGTCAGTTTTCACCAATCCGATAGAACCCCGGGGTGCTTTTACAGCGCCATGCAAGTATCAACGGTGTCAATTGTCTCTGTTGACACAAGGTTTTCCCCTTTGCGAGCGCTTAGAATCAGAATGAGTGATCCTTACTGGCCAAAGTCTATTAGCAGCGGAACAAAAATCCTTAACAATTACTTCAAAATGAAGTCGTCGTTTTTTATAAAAGCAGCCTTCCATCACTATGACGATGAACTTTAGGAATACGAATATCAGATCCAAGTTCTTTTTTTTTAATCAGTGACGCAGAAGTTCTTTCCATTCACCCTATCTTCTCTATATCATTTTCTTTATTTACTTATCGTCATATTATTTGCCCTTCTCTTCACGTATAAACAACATGTGTACCACCATTAAGACCTACTGTCGTGGTACCGGGGAGTTTTTAAATGTCAGCGTTGACCGTTGTCATGAGCTTCGGTAAGTCCGTGCTCTGAGGATCTTGTTCATTGTCATCTAGTTAATTCAGACAGGGCTTTTGGAACCTGCGATAAGAAAACCAATGAGCGAAACAATTGTGGGGGATGTAATAGAGTAGTTCATGGACATGAAAAGGTCTTGCAACGCAGTGCCACACACGGTGCTATTTTTCAGGACGTATACTTCCGTCTCTGCAACGGGAATTATCAGAATGCCCAGGGGCAATACCTTCAGTAGACCTGGAGCATCATTCGATGTAAGTAATTTTATGGGCACTTCAGTGACAAATTGGATACTTACGGACTTCACAGTTGTCTCAAGGAATGTGTTTTAGTACAATTACATATTAAAAGCACCGCGAAAGTCAATAACTACTGCTTTTACACCTGGTGTGTTCAAGCTTTGCTAAGTCTGGTTGAAGTTTTGTTCTAGGCTTTTATTTTATTTTATGTTTTTATGTTTATTTTTATTTTTTGAGAGGGGGAGAGATTCAAGAAATGATACTGTACAGAATATAGAATAGCAAACATCATGCACTGTTCACAGTCTCAAAGCTCAGAGAATCACATATCTCTCTATATTAAAGAAAAACCAACTTTTCCGTGCAAAAAACGCTGTAACGTGACATCACGTGACATCACGTGTACCCCATCAAAAATCCATGGATACGTAGTGGCGCCTGCCAATTGCACCACTCTATCTACCCCCTATCATCACCACCGCCTCTAACGCCCCGTAGCACCCCCTATTACTTCCACTTCATACCCCTACCTCCATCTTACCACTCACTCTTACCACCCCT